ATGGCTATAAGTTGATTTACGGATGAGTCATTAGGAATAAAGCCCGACTGATTTTTACTTATCAAGTTATTTGTTCTTAGAAACCCAAAAATGTGTCTGTAAATAACACGTTCAAGGACTTTGGATATGGCAGAAAGAAGAGTAATGGGCTGATAATTGTTGCAGCTTTGAGAATCATCGAAGAGAGTATGGATATAACCTAATTGCCAAATAGACGGAAATTCCCTGTTGCTCAAAGACTCGTTAAATAAAAAAGTGACAACAGGACTGATTATTCCAGCTGATCCTCTCAACATTCGATTTGAAATACCGGGAGCGGTGGCTTTATTAACATTCAGGTGTAACAAAATCTCATACTCTTCAGTCACATTTATCAGGAAGTCCGATATAGCAATTGTTGATTTTGGAAGGGAATTAATAGAAGGAGAAATAAATGAAGCATCAGCTGTACATGTATTGGAGTACTTGCGCTCGACCAAGTGATGAAGTTACTATTTTATTAGATAATGGGTCAAATAAAGGCTGAATACTCGATTGTTTTGTTTTGCCTAAGGAGAATTTTAACAGGGACCACCATGCTTTCGATGAATTTTTGTTGAAGCCAGTCGTTCATAGTATTTCTTTTTGGCATGAGCACATCCTTTTTCCAATCGATCAGCGTATCTCTCCTAAGCACTCTTATCTCCATCAGACTTAGTGTGCAGATAGCGTTTATAGCACCTCTGTTTCATGCTGTGAAGGTGACGAAGCTTGTCTGTGAACCAGAGTTGGTCACGTGAAGATACGGTAATCCATTTGCTTTTTAGACAAGAAGTAGCAAGTTGCTAATAGCAACTTCTAAGAATTTATTTTGAAACGCCTCAATTTTATCTGTACATGTTATCTGATGATCGATAATAGAGTGTCAGTTCGTTTTTGAAAGTGCTAGTCGAAAGCCATCCCAATTGCTATGCTTATAGTCGTATATGTGACGTTTATAAGAAAAAGGCATTTGTTTTATTTGAAGAAGTGAAAATCGACCATACAGTGGTCGCAGGTGGTAGTTAAAGGAGATAAAACGTTCACGTTAGTAACTGAGTTGAGATTATTAGTAAATATCAGATCTAGACAGTAATTAAACTTAGGTCTGGTGGGTTTTGAGAATAACTGGGAGAATCCCTCCTTTATAGAAAAGTGCAATAACTGGTTGCCCTCAGATGTTGACGATTTCGTTGGGCACCATTTAGCTGAGTGACCATTAAAATCACCGATTAATATAACAGAATCATCCTTTATACTTGTGTTCATTCTAATTTTTGCAGAGTGTCAGTCAGATGTTTCACAAACAAAGGCATAGGCGCAAGATTCTGTGATTGGTAGCACAGAGCCAAGAGACAAGATTTCGATGACGGTAGATATTAGCTTAAGAAACAGGTTTCAAATCCAGCATCTTCCAAATACGTATATCTTTTAAATTTAATATCCTTACGGATATAAAGCAAGAGTCCTTCCCCTTTGGAGGACCGATCTTTACGAATAAAAGTATATCCAGCTAACCGAGTTTTCTGTAAACCTTGTGGACAGCAACGTTAAAAACTTGAAACAAAAACGAAAAAATGCTCCATTTAGTTATCAGTTCTGAAAGTATGAAGTCTTAGTGACTTTTAGTTTTTATTTCCGAGCATTTCTACGGAAAGTCCAAAAAGAGCAGAAGGATGCCCTTAAAACTTAAATAAAAATGCATTTTACCCATCTTTTTTTTTCCCGCAAGAGAACCAACTTTCTCTTAGCTTACGAACGAAAAGGTCACTTTTCGTTTTTGGAAAACAAAGGATATTACTTTTTTTCAAAAAAGAAAAGATATGCGTCATATCTTTAGTCTTTTTTGCTATAAAGAAAAAGATAAACTTTTCTTTCGTTAATAAAAGAAGAGGTAGTAACGAGAAGAGGCACCCCTACAGAGATTACAACAACATTCCTTCTCATCATAAACATCATAAAAACAGAAAACAAAGCAAAAACGAACGTATAACGTTCGTACACACTGAGGAAAAGAAAGAAACGTGACATCACTCTACACAAACAACAGTTACATATATGTACCGTACATTGCAACGTGTGCACATACTATATATAACGTGAATAGGAAAAGAAAATAGAAAAGAAAAAAGAAAAGACAAGAAGGTCGCTATTTGTGTCGCAGCTATTTCTTTCTTAAAGCAAAAGAGCACATTCAGCATACACAACAGACTGAAAGAAGAGTCGACAAAAAGGTTTCATGTTTTTTATTTTAATCTCACATATATATGATTTCCGTTTCTATGTGTGCAAATCTCATCGAGTCGTTCCTTCATTTCTTCCCTAGACATTCTCTCGACCAAAAAAACATTTACATACGTACCTGCTCTATTTCCTGAACATGAACATTTTGTATTTTATTGAATATTCGAACCATTTGTTCTCTTTCGAGGCCTTTTTTTCTCTCAATCACAAAGTATTGTCAAGTGTTGATAAAAGATAAATTTTTGGGTAAACATCGTAACTTTTTTGCTGATACAAGTAGAAGTTCTTAAAGTTTTTCAAATCAAAGTCTACTCTGTGAAGAACATAGAATTCTTGTATGCAAATAAAATCCTGTTTCCTACAACTGTTTTGCGATTTCGTGAGACTTTTTTATGAATGAAATAAGAAAAACATCATGATTCAAATATTTCACTGCACTTCTAACTAGGAGTGGCACTTTCCCGTTCCTTTCCCAAGTAACGATAAAGTGGTATCTTTCATTTCAAAAGTAAAGATTAAAGATATAACGGATATCTTTTTCTTTTCTAAAAAAAAGAAAAGCAATATCTTTTCTTTTGCAAGGAAAAGACTTTCTTTAAAAGGTGCAAAGAAAAGTCTTTTTCCTGAAAAAAGAAAAGATAGGCCAGGTGCCACTTTCCTTTTCCTTAGGAAAGAAAAGATACGCATTATATAGTTTTTGGACTTTCTGACAAAATTTTTGACTTTTTTTCCATCAGCAACTTTCTGCCAAAAAATTTTGAAAACTTTTTTTCGCCGGCCACTTTTTGTGAAGCAAAATTTTTAGCCCCTCCCATCCCTAAGAACAATCGGAAATCCTGCACACTGTTCAAACTTTTCATAGGAACTTTTTTTTTGATTTTTGTCTTAGACGTTAGAATGATATTTTTAAAAACAAATCTTATTTGAGGAGCCTAATAGTATGTATCAAAAATCATATGAAAGCTCCTCACGTATGGCAGTCTTTAAACTCATTACGAGATGAAAAATACTAACGTCTTCTTTTACACTGGGAAGCCGTTTTGAACTCGTTACGAGTCCAAATGAGTGCTATGTTCTAATATAGTATAGAGGAGGCTGTTTTAAACTCGTACGAGTTTAAAAAAACATGTTACGAGTTCAAAACAGCCTCCCCTATACTATATTAGAACATAACACAGTTTTGAACTCGTAACATGTTTTTAAACTCGTACGAGTTCAACACACCCAAAAGTAGATGCATGCAAGCCTTTTTTCATCTCGTTACGAGTACGAATTTAACATGAAGCCAAGCTCCTTAAGAATATATCTCTTAGCTCAATCGAAAAGTCTTTCCAGTGCATTTCTCCGAGGTTTCGAAAACATTTTCGACTCTGTGACACAAAGAAAATTAGTAAAATTCCTGAAAAATGAGATATAAAGAAAGAAGAAGTACCAAGAAATTGTTACTTTGCATGACTAACTCGTTGACTAGGTTTTCTGAGCAGCAATTCCTTCCCAATGATTTTTTGATATTCTTTTTCGATATTTCTTTATATAGGAAACTAACCGATGACTCGTAAAGAATGAACTCTTTTTTTATCTGCTTGTTTTGAACGATTAAAATAATGTTTGAAGACTTAGTTACGAACTCATTTGACAAACCGCAACGAAAATATTATTTCAGTAGCTCTTAACAAAGATATAAAAACGATCCATTCTTTATCGGTCACTCGTTGTGTCCAGGTACCCGATGAATTTCCACATCTACAATCTGTTGAGCGAAGCTAATATAAGAGATGATACTGAGATATTCTTTACAGATGGGTGAACTCGATAACTACTCAATTTCATCTGATCGTCTCATCGATCCCAACCAATCTCACGATGGCCTCGAATGCATTATTTATCATAATATTCTGTCGAAACCAGTCTCATGTAAAACATGCCTAAATTCATTTTGTTCTAATTGCATTAACACGTGGTTAATTACACAAAGTGTTTGCCCATACAAATGTAATCCATTCGAAAAACGGCAACCACCACCGATAACAATGACATTTTTGTCAAAACTAAATATTTCTTGCCGAAACAAGAGCAGGGGATGTGAAGAAGCTTTACTGTACGATTCACTAGAAAATCATGAGCAAAAATGCGAGTATCAATCGGTACAATGTCAAGATTGTAAACAAGAAATCGTTCAAAAAGATTTTGCTGAACATCGAGAGCAGTGTACCGATGTTTTCACTGAATGTCCAAAATGTTCAACTAAATATAAACGACGAAACGCTAATAAACATACAGAAATAAAATGTCTGCAGATCTCGATGCAACGGAAAATGGACGAAGCACTTAAGAGACAGCAGCAAACGTTCAATAAAGCTCTTAAACAACAGCAAGAAACGTTTTCGCAGCAATTGAAAGAGGCAAAAACCAAAAATGCCGACGCCATGCGGCAGTTGCTTGCACGTGTCACCAAACTCGAAGGTAGGTAACAGTGTGATTCACAGCCCTTGTCTACTATTTAGCGAAATCATAATCTATGCAGGACATTGGCGAGTTTTACTTGTATCTTTTTGTGAGAGGAGGCTTGAGGGATGTATTATAACAGAAAGAGTAAAAAGATTGATCTTCACTCTTGCATCACGCATCTCACGTAGATATTACCATCTTCGATCGCTTCAATTGATTATGTATATTTTAAAAAATTATAGAAATTGTTATTAGAAGATGAAGAATATATTTGGAATTAATCAAAAATTAGAACAAGATGAACATTTAATATTCGTTATTAGAACAATGAATCGCATAATAAAAGCAAAGAATTTTTACTGGGGATGAACTAGACAAGTTCCTTGTTGAACTTTTGTCATTACCCTGTCATTTTATTAACATCATGGACTAAAATAAATTGATTGATTAATTGAGAATTTTTCTTTGTTGTTGTTTTTGATTAAAGTGTGTTTACTTCTCACTATTTTTTTCTTTCTCTTTCAATAATAATTTAATACACATTACATTTTGTGCATCGGCAAAAGCAGTTCGTATTAATTCTGTAAGTTTACATACGTACCTGCTCTATTTCCTGAACATGAACATTTTGTATTTTATTGAATATTCGAACCATTTGTTCTCTTTCGAGGCCTTTTTTTCTCTCAATCACAAAGTATTGTCAACCTGTCACTTCGTCAAGTGTTGATAAAAGATAAATTTTATGAACGAAATTTTCAAGATAAATTAATTGGGCGAAGCACCTAAGAGCCAGCACCAAAGCAGCATTCCAGAAAAACTATAAACATCAGGCTTAAAGAAACTTCTGTATGTCTAAGTTTGTATGTTCATTTGATTGAGATTATAGACAAGATATATAGTTTAGATCAGAGTTGATCACCTGCATAATTTTTAATCCTTGCGCGGGCACAACGCAGTCAAAAAATCTTCTGTTCTGTACAAGCACAGAGGTCGGGCAAAAACTTCCGCACTGTCCTGCCTGCATGTGGGTTGCTATATCCCCTAAGTCGGGGTATAACAATTTTTTTCCCAGTAACTACTGTCAGTCTGTATTACACACTGATAGTTATAGACTATTATCGACGCCAAAGTACAAGGCACTCTGTTGTTTTTCAAATAACTCCAAATGACAAAAGATGGAGGCTTTGCGGTTTACAACAATCGAAAGAAAACACTTTCATTAATACTTTTGCAAGCGAAAGTGCTATCCAAGAATGGCCGTAAGACCGGTGTTCTACCGGATCTTTCGAAAACTAGTTCGGGTTTCTGGAAATGGACATAGCCATGTAGCGATTTTTTGCTAAGACAGATAGTTCCAAGTGTCCTCTAATAAATAAGATCTAAGAAAATGTTTAGTTTTGCTTTATTCCGGCGCTGGGGATCTTTGCCGTCCTGCTGTAGGACTTCTCAGTCGTCAGACTTAGGACCTTCGGGATGCATAACAACATAGGTTATCCACTATGCTCAGTCTCATGGCAATGTTTGTTTCTCTTAGGAAAATTCTTTATAACCTAGTGAAACAACCACGTGCCTTTCTCAAAGGATCATTGTGATCTTCAGTGTGAACAACATACTCTCCTTTTGTTCTCCGCACAAAAACGTCTTTCCTTGTAGTGAATGCAAACAGGAAAACATTCTTCTTTAGCTGCCGGCCGTCAGCGGAAAATTTTTTCGTTATCCTCCAAACTGCAACTGGTCTGCACTGCCTGCAGCTGTCAGTCAGCTTAAAATGATCAGCTCTGGTTTAGACACTCGAAACAACGAATCATTGTAAGCTTCGATAAAGACCTGTGCACCTTTGCACATGGTAAACCATACACCAGTTTTCTATTAAAATATTCACAAATACATATTATTCTACTTTTCTTCCGATGCGTTACGTTCTTTCGTACTGTCCCCATTTTAATCACTAAACTTAAGAAAGGTAAATAGGCGTGTACAGCAAAGGCAGCGTTATTGCACAAATTTATGATGAAATGGTGAAATAACTCATATTTTCTATCTTTCTGCGCACAAACATACAGACATATATATATATATGTGTTATAATCACTAACTAATAAATAGCGCACATTAATAAGATTTACAGTCGTAGTTTCTTCTACTTTTCCATTTTGATACCAGATACTAAGATAAAAATATTATTGACCGCTTGAATATCGAAAACTTTCTAAATTTTAAATGCATCTTATATTGCTGAGAATATCAGTTTTTCTTAATATTTTATTGATATATGTAAGATCCAAGGGGGAAATAGCGGACTCCTGAACTCCCGAAGTCCAGGAGCAAAAGTATTATTTTTGGGAATCACTTCCCAAAAAATGAACACTTTTGTTCTTTTCTGGAAGCCGTTCTCTTAACCAGACCACTTTTGTTCTGTTTTTGGGACGAACTTATACCAGCTTAAAACTCACAGCTTAATGAACTAGTCGACCAGCTCAGTTCATTTGAACTGAAATGAGCTGTCACATACCTACCTTGGACTCCTGTGCACTCCAGGAGTCCGCTATTTCGCCCTTGGAAAACATTCACACTTATATTTATACAAGAGTGTAAACGATGATTCAAGAATTTCCAAGATCTTGGTACAAGAAGTCAAGAAATTACAAGATGTTCAAGGTCTTGACTTCTTGAAATTTCTTGAATTCTTACATTTTCTTACCACAATCATGAATCAAGATTTTGCTGAAAAATTTCAAGAAGTCAAGATCTTGGTTACAAGAAGTGCCACTACGGTATACTACTCCCTCCTGGCACAAGACGTACTAAAAGCATAGAATAGAATGAACCCGGATGGGAAGATGGTAAGAAAAACGTTCTTTTCACATGTACCTACAATTAAAAAAACACATCAATATCTTTTTTTACTTTAGTTCTTATCGAGGCAGATGCCGTTCGAGATTCATCTTTTCGTAATTGTCAGTCTGTGAGAGAATGCAGAGGTGTAGTAGACTTGTTGACAGGAGTCTTTCTAAAGTATGCGGTGTCAGCAAAATATCTAAGGGATGAAAGTACTGTGGCTGATACAATATTCAAATGGGGAAGATGAACATTGTCAATTTGTGTTAAAATTTCAATTGTGATTAGTATAATGGCTCTTCGTGGCGTTTGTCCTTTTGCAGACAACACTGGCTGGAAAAACAAATATATATATACCTTACTTTACGTATCGCTGATCACAGCTTGAATCATTTAAGTTGAATGTTGAGCAAAATTCTGCTTGTGTTGCCGAAATTCTGGGAGATTTGTGAAACTTCTGACAGTATTCTTGCACAATTCTACTCCGTGTTGTGCAATTTCGCTTATGTCGCCAAATTGAGACAAAATTTTAGAATATTGTGCAAGACTCTGGCGGTTTCGCATAGTTCTGGGAAAGCATTTATGCTCGAGGTGCTTTAAGTTTTCACGATGGTTTTGAAGAAACGGAGCTTTTTTATGTCATCTTATGCGCACACAACAGTTGAAAATAAATGTCTATGCTATAATTTGTGCTCCACAGATTTATTTCTGAAACAAGTAGAATATTTCACGACTTACTTAAGATTATTTTCGACAGGATAGTGCATCGTACTAACAAGATGTTATCTATACAGTGTGCTTAATACTCTTGTGTATACATGTGTGCTCTTCGAAACCAGTGGCGGATTTAGGGGATAGTGGTAGTCAACACCGAAATTTTTGATTGTCTACTAGTTCTTCCAAGTTCAAAAAATAAAATAGACATGAAGTACACTATAACTGTTCTTCCGGAAAATTTTTCTATATATACCACTGTTCGAAACTAATTATTTGTGTTTCGTAGTGTAGATTTTAAACGGTAATTCACAAAACTATTAAGATATCTGACATCTGAACTTAATTATAATAATCAAAATGATTTTTTCGAAAACATTTATGTACAGATAAAAAAATATTAAATTATAAGTAGTTCATCGGTATCAGACAAAGTGCTTTCTAAGCGAAAATAAACCTATTTTACAAAAGAGGATACATTCCACATTCAAAGATATAAAAACATAATAGAAAACTTTTATAGGCAATCAAGTGTTGGTATATATATATATCCATATATACATGTTTTTCCACCCAGTGTTGTCTGCAAAAGGACAAACGCCACGAAGAGCCATTATACTAATCACAATTGAAATTTTAACACAAATTGACAATGTTCATCTTCCCCATTTGAATATTGTATCAGCCACAGTACTTTCATCCCTTAGATATTTTGCTGACACCGCATACTTTAGAAAGACTCCTGTCAACAAGTCTACTACACCTCTGCATTCTCTCACAGACTGACAATTACGAAAAGATGAATCTCGAACGGCATCTGCCTCGATAAGAACTAAAGTAAAAAAAGATATTGATGTGTTTTTTTAATTGTAGGTACATGTGAAAAGAACGTTTTTCTTACCATCTTCCCATCCGGGTTCATTTGGTACGGTCCACTCGTGTCCATTAATAGATATTTTTTGTACTGTAGGATGTGATCTTACATATATCAATAAAATATTAAGAAAAACTGATATTCTCAGTAATATAAGATGCATTTAAAATTTAGAAAGTTTTCGATATTCAAGCGGTCAATAATGTTTTTATCTTAGTATCTGATATCAAAATGGAAAAGTAGAAGAAACTACGACTGTAAATCTTATTAATGTGCGCTATTTATTATTTAGTGATTATAACACACATATATATATGTCTGTATGTTTGTGTGCAGAAAGATAGAAAATATGAGTTATTTCACCATTTCATCATAAATTTGTGCAATAACGCTACCTTTGCTGTAGACGCCTATTTACCTTTCTTAAGTTTAGTCATGTTTTTTTATTTAAATCCCCACAAGTATTTTGTTCACTTCCTATTTCATATACTTCATTTACAGACACAGCAATTTAAAATGGGACAGTACGAAAGAACGTAACGTATCGGATGAAAAGTAGAAAGAATACAGCGTGTGCATTGGCTGTAAAATTTTGTC